GGTTGTGCCATGCGGTCAGTCAAAAAATAAGTAGACTGCTGTTCGCACTTTCAGTTAAAGAATGTATGATAAAACTCTTCCCTTGCCAATGACTTTTGATTGGCCACTCCATAATTCGTGTTTTACTTGCCCGGCAAATCAAATTCTTCTATACCGCTTTGTCTCAAAAACAGAACAGTATTATTTCACCCATCACCTGCATGGTACAAATAGGGCCAAATTTCGACTGACTTGTTAATCATTAGCACATGTAACGTGTCGGTTATGCAGCAGCCTTTCAGATTCACTTCTAAATCTGTTTCCTTAAGAACATCTGTCGCGAAACAGTACATAGAGCAGTCAAGCCTCTTACGAAGCTCGCTGAATAATCGTTCTGCATTTCATAACTGACCTCCTCCACAACTGCCGTGGCGATTGGGAAAGTGCGTTTCAATGCAGTATAGAATAATTTACTATCACCATTACCAACTTTACGTGACATTGGTACCAAAATTAAATTTGTTTAGAGTCATTGAACTTCAAGGACGTTGGTAATTCGAGGCGTTCCCTGCATCTGTGACAGTCACGTACTTAATCGATTACACATCCATCAATATATTCCGCCGTGTTTTGTGCTGCAACTCCTCGCGGCATTGTTCCTTTCAAGGTTCCCACAGTACTTTGTAGCTGAAGTGCAGTTAAACATGGTTAACTTTAATAAATGGCGGAACCTTTGAGTCTTCTGCCTCATAGCACACTGATACATCAGTCTGATCGGTTAACGTCAAAACAGAGTAATTTCTTACGGTTAATGCTATTAGCCTGTGTTTGCGCTGAAACATGTATAAGGACACGTTTTATCTATTTATCAGTCGAGGAGGATCGTCTGAACTATATGCTGTGCGTACGAAATGATGCTCTTAACGAATTAGAGCATTCATCACGACATTTATCCCTAAAGCATTGTCTAAGCATGTCTCCACAAGCGCACTGTAACGAAAGCTGTGCAGGGTTTCTAGTCACGCCTGTTGCCAAGTTCGTTAGCCTATCCTTACGCATTCTGTAGCAGACATTCACAAGTGCGGTTGCAGCATTATTTCATTGTACTCTTCCCTTTAATGTGACAATTTATTACCACTGTTGTCAACTTTAGGTGATGTAAATTTTAAAATCAGAT